GTGGATTTATAAGGTTAAATATAATTCTGATGGTTCTGTTGAGCGCTATAAGGCGCGCTTGGTTGTCTTAGGTAACCGGCAGGTGGAAGGGATTGACTATCAAGAGACATTCGCACCTGTCGCCAAGATGGTTACTGTCAGGACGTTTCTCGCTGTCGCAACTGCACGTCATTGGGAGGTTCATCAGATGGACGTGCACAATGCATTCTTACATGGTGATCTGACCGAGGAAGTCTACATGAAGCTTCCTCCCGGTTTTCATTCTCCTGATCCTGGTAAGGTGTGTCGCCTACGTCGGTCTCTTTATGGTTTGAAGCAAGCCCCTCGGTGTTGGTTTGCGAAGCTTGCTTCTGCTTTACGACAGTATGGTTTTCAGCAGTCTTACTCGGATTACTCCTTATTTGTTCTTCATCGGGACACATTGAGTTTACATGTTCTGGTTTACGTTGATGACCTGATTATTTCTTGGAGTGATCCAGTCGCTATCGCTGCCTTTAAAGATTATTTGGGTCGATGTTTTCATATGAAGGATTTGGGTGTGTTGAAGTATTTTCTGGGTATTGAGGTTGCTAGGAATGCTTCAGGCATGTTTCTGTGTCAACGGAAGTATACTCTTGATATCATATCTGAGACCGGCCTACTTGGTGGCAAACCTGTTGAGTTCCCTATGGAACAGAACCACCAACTTCCTTTGGCAGATGGCCCTCTATTCTCTGACCCCGAGCGCTATCGTCGCCTCATAGGGCGCTTAATCTACTTGACGGTCACTCGGCCTGATTTGTCCTACGCCGTTCATACCTTGTCTCAGTTTATGCAGCAGCCTCGTCTGGCCCACTGGGATGCTGCCCTTCGGGTGGTTCGCTATTTGAAGGGTACCCCTGGTCAGGGTATTGTTCTTCGTTCTGACTGTGACTTACAAGTTTATGGTTGGTGTGACTCTGACTGGGCGACATGTCCTACTACGCGACGGTCTCTCACGGGTTGGTTTGTACAGCTTGGTCACTCTCCGCTTTCTTGGCGCACCAAGAAGCAACACACAGTCGCTCGGTCTTCTGCCGAGGCAGAGTACCGGGCTATGGCTACACTTACTTGTGAGTTGAAATGGTTGTTGGGTTTACTTCGCAGTCTTGGTGTGGCTCATCATCAGCCCATGCGGATACATTGTGATAGTCAGGCAGCACTCCACATTGCTGCTAATCCTGTTTTCCATGAGCGCACCAAGCATATTGAGGCTGATTGTCATTTTATTCGAGATGCTCTTGTTCAAGGCCTCATTGCTGCCACCCATGTGTCCTCTCGCTCTCAATTGGCGGACATTTTCACCAAGGCTTTGGGCAAGCACGAATTTGATGTCTTCCTTGGCAAGTTGGGCATCCGAAATCCGCATGCTCCAACTTGAGGGGGGGTGTTAATGTATTATTTGGTGTATCATGTATTTTTGGTAGGAGGATCATTAGTAGTCATTTAGGGATACTCTTTATTTCTTACCTTGTATTTTCAGATCCGTTTTGTATATATATATTCGGCCCTTGAGCCACACTGATCATCAAGTTGGATGAATCAGTTTCATACGTTATTCTTTGACATAGGTTTATATGTTTGGAGGAATAAGTTCAATCCCATATGTGAAGCACACCTTAAGAGAGCAAACCTAATTATCATCTTAGTGAGGTTTAATCTCAAAACCAATTGGTAATGAGATAGATAGTCACATCTGCTTATAAACTAAACTCGTTTTATTCTACAATGTGGGACAATTCATAAGTGTAGTCTAAACATTGTAAATGTAAAGAAAATTTTGGTACTGAGTGAAAGCAACAAAGGGGTCCACTGCTAGAAAGAAGAAAAGTCTTTTATAAATGTTTAATTAAATTAATTGTATCATAAAATTTTAAAAATCAACTTAATTAATATAAAAATAGATTAAAAAAAATCAAAACACATGCAAGTTTAGGTAGCGCGTCATATTAAGAGAAAACTAAGATTAATTTGTGTTATAGTACCCTTTTTCTAGTGTATATATGGGGACATTGGACATGTTCAAACTTTTACTTTTTTGTATTTTACGTAGCAAAAAACTTCAGTTACTCGCACTGTCGTAGGGGTGCAAAGGAAGGCCGAGCAGATCTAGCCCTTAATGAGTCAGTAATCGAGCTCGAACCATTAACGAGCCAGTAATCGAGCTTGAGCTCGGTTATTTATCAATATTAACGAGCCATAAAATATTTCAATGTTGTTTCAACGACAATTCTAATGGACATTACAAAGAATAAGCCAAAAATGTATGACTAAGTCTAGATGGAAAAAATAAATTTGGAGAATCTCACTATTGTAATCAGAAAATGATGTTTGAAGACTCTGAACGAACATTACAAAAAATATGATGAAATCCCAATGGAATTTCAATAACAATACGAATGGACATTCCAATATTATTATTTTCATTTGAATTTTTCAACAGATTCCAACAGAAATATTCTGTTGGACTGAACTTTCCAACAAAAATATGTTTGTTGGATTTTGACGATTTCAACGGTACATTTTCCAACGATTGAAATATTTGTGAAAATAAAAATTCTAACAGAAATTGTATATTTCAACGAAAATTCCTATGGTAAAAAACTGTTGGAATCATCAAATTCCATTTAAATTCCAATGGAAAACTCATTCGAATGGAATAATTCCACTAGAATATTTGTTGTAATCATTCCAACGGAAGCTATACAATTAAAATATCTATTAGAATTTCCATTAAAATATATTACCTTACGATTTTTTTCGTTGGAAAATGACATTTTTTTTTTCTTTTTGTAGTGGAAGCCTATTAGCTCTCCAAATAAAAAAAAAATTGAACTGTATCGACAGGATATTAGGATAAAACTTAATTTGTGGAGACCAGTTACTGTTTTGTGGTGCAAAGTGATCACAAATTAATTACATAAACAGAACTCGAAGGATGATAACAAATCCACAATGAAGAAATGCAGCAAGAAAAAAACAGCAGTAATCGAACTGTTACAAATGCCGCACGTTAAGCTGAATCACTCACAGGGCAACTCTCCTTTGGCGTGTCGTGAAAATACGGGACACGATATTATATTCGAAAGCCTCACAAATTGTTGCATGCCAAATAAGAGCTGCCCTATGAATGGTTCACTTAATTAAGTATACAGAGTTGCTTAGTGATATGAAACATCAGACTTTCATTATGTGTGTGCATATATATAGATATAGATATAAATGCGCTTTACATGGCTTGCACGTATATGGAATAAAGTATTGGAGAGGGTTGAAGGGTTATGCTAAGGTATATCCCATTGGAGACTTCTTCGCGTGCTCGGTTAATTGTACCTTGGATTTTTATCCTTCCATGCCGTGGTCCATGGCTTTGTTTGTAAAACGTGGGCAGATTAAAGCTTTGGAAAGGAGATGCCAATTCGAAAACGATGGAAAGTGGTTTTTTTTTTTCTTTTATCTGCGAAATCCTTCAATCGGCATATCCTAAGGTACATTCCCCTTGCTTTCGATCACAATTTTAAACTATGCGTGTCTATCGTCTCTAAACATATCATTATCGTGTGGTTAATTGGCTTATGTTACTTACAAGATATTAACTTGAACGCGAATTCGACTTCCATATGAGGACTCGTGTATGTAATTGATTAATAGATTGGAGAATCTGCTTTGTGCATTCTTATAGCTTCGTTCGGTTTTGAATTTGGGTAAGTCGCGACCTGCTCATCTGCAATAAAGTACTCTTTTACTGACACACGCATCCAAGCGCGAACCGTCAACATGATGTGGAAGTCGAGCGATGGGGACCGAGCCACAACCCGATACAAATCTAATTTGTGTCGGTTCTAACAGAACAGTTCACTTTGGTTAGGATCACGAACATCAATTTTTAGTAAAAATTGACTAGTTGTGAACACCGATTCGGAGCTTTGATGTTGTTTAAGAATTTTGACATGCAACTCATCAAACATGCGTATAGTGGAATTTTATAATTTCAACACGCCTATAGTGGATTTTTATAATTTTCTTCTCTGCAATGAAGATTCGACTTTAGCTCTTCGACAAGACCTAGGTCAACAAAAAGTTTACACTTGTTTGTAATTTTTGTCCTGGGTTGTAATATTCATGTAATCCTATTTTTAGTGTACACGATCAAATGCCAATAAATCTCTTCCAATGAATAAGTTGGGAATCTTTAATCAACTATAACTCTTTGATAAGACCTCAAGCCACATGAATAATAACTGAAACCTTTCAGTTGTTTGTAATTCTTGTCCCTGACTATAATGTCCATGCAATATTGTTTCTACCGTAGACGATCAAACGCTAATAAATCCCTTTCTATGAATAAGTGGTGAATTTATAATCCAGAAAGCTAGAGAAGTGGTTTGCGTCTCTCATTTGATATCTCAATTAATGAGATTTTAAAGCTGGATTACTATGGCCCAATTAATTAATTATTCTTAATCCAACTAATGTTTAATTTAATATAAATGGCTCCTTTATGAAGCCATGCATCCATAACTTGATGCATTACCGCATATCCAAAGTATCTTCATTGTAGTACACGCGACAATTTGTGAATAACTGTGAATAGTTCAATAAGTCGTATCATCCGATGGTTCCATAGCAAAAACAACCATCTTACCCTGTTAATATAAGTGTGTGTGTGTGTAAGAGAGAGAGAGAGAATAACATGATAAAAACAAATCTGATCGAATATTACTGCATATTTGAAGTGCACGACATCGAAAATTTATTACAAGATCATCCAATGGCTGAAATACACAAGAAATTACCTCAATTAGACACCAATCACCAATCATGATTGCATTACACAACAGGCTCATTCAGACACTCTAAAGCAGAGACTACACGAAGAAAATTCGCATTTTCTCATGTTCCTTTAGGTGACTGACAATAAAATCAGGGATTAAAAAAAAAAAAAAAGTGCTATATCGTTACTATAACTCGTATTATCTCCATCATGCGGTGGTTTGTTCTGCCGACCACTTCCATACTCTGACAAGACCCAACCCATCGCCTGTGAAAAATAAACCACCAGGACCTGCCTGTACGGACCGAATCTCTTTCTTTGACAAGATTTTCCCCCTCTCAGAAAATCTGATTGAAAACAAAAAGGTGAAAGAAACTGTACAATGAAATTGCGAACCAAGAAGCATTTGCGAAAGAACCAAAGACTGGCCAGAAATGTGGGACTCACGATGGCAAATCATAGACTCGTATTGTATTGTCATTGCACGAACAAAACAAAACAGGTTTGACTTCTGAATCGTGCATCCCACACAGAGTGAGCACGCCCTGCAGAAGACTTTCAACATGTAAAATACAAATTTATTCGTATTTTAACCAGTAATAGAAAGTGGAAGGTTGAAAACGTTGTACAAGTGCTTATGTCATTTCTAACAAATACAATTTAATATCACTGACAGCAGAAGTTTTTTTGAAATAAGTAACAGTTTAAGTATCATTGAGACATATATATTGTCAGTTTGCTGACATCATATCATTAAGCTCAAACATAACCAGTGTTCTTAGCACAAGAAATAAGGAAAAA